GTCGAAAGGAACCCTTAAAGGCCATCAAGTCCAACTCCCCTGCAATGAACAGGGACATCTACAGCTCAGTCAGGCTGCTCAGAGCTGCATCCAGCCTGACCTTGATGTCTCAAGGACGGGTCATCTGTGGGTGTTCCTTGGTACTGCTTAATTTACTAGTGTAGAAATTATCTAGAAATTTTTCCCATCAGAGGTTGTAAACTTCAGATTGGATCCACAGATGTTTAATACATTTCGTTTGTTCAACTTTGGTAGAGTACCAAGACCCTATGTACAACCTGCTGCTGTAGTAAGAAGGAATTAACAAATGGGAAAGAATTGAGAAAAGAGCATCGAAGTGATTGAAAAACGAAGGAGACTAACTTGTGAAGAGTCAGATAACTGTTAGCACTCGAGGAGTTTAAACACCAAAGGGGAAGAAGAATTATTTGCAGGGTCCAATAGAGTTTTACTAGGTGTTAAGAGCTGAAAATGACTAAGGGAACTTTAGCAAGAACAGAAGGAAGCATTTCATCAACGCTGAAGTCTGCTGGACTGTGAAATAGTCTCCCAAAATAAATGGTGGCAGTCCTACAGCTCAGGTCATTTTAAATTAGACTGGCCAAAATACATGAGCGGATTCTTCAGGGAACAACTCAATATCACATTCCAGTGATGGCCATATCAACCTCACAGGCAGCTCCCATGGTCATGATAATTAGGCTCCACAACGCTGTTCTGAAAAGAGAGTTTGAAGAGTTTGACACTTGCATGGCAGCAGATCTTTCATGTACGGTGCTTGCCATGATATCATGCTATTTATACATTACTTTGAGTTGAAAGGTGTGTGTGAAGAGACAATCAGAGCCTCCATAAATCAACCCCCTGGATTATCGATGCTGATGAAAGATAGAAAATAGCTTGCATTAAACCTTCAAAACTGCTGGTATCAGTGAGAGATTTTATCGAAAATACCCCTCAGCAAGAAATTATATGTAGTAATGAGTGAACAAGGAACATGTTTAAACTAACACACAAACACATTCTGACAGACTCTGTGAAGTTGTTTGTTTGTTTGTTTGTTTTAATTTTTATTTTATTTCATCTTCTGTCTGGTTCCAAAAGCTTGACTGACAGGGTTGGATGCTGGCATCTATCATTTCTTTTCGAAACAGATAGGAAATGAACATTAACATTTCTCAAAGCCAATCCAGGGGGAAGAGGCTCTCCTAAAAATAAAAGCATCCCACACCTATTGCCACAGTCTATTCAACTCATCTCTTTGCCAACAGAAGTAGCAGCAAAAATGAACTTCTGTTGTTTTCTTTTGCTTTCTCCAGGATGAGAATGATGGTTATAAACTGTGAGGAGGTGTTCTCCACCTATACTCACTTCTCACAATTTAGCAAAGCATCACCAGAGAGCACCGACTCTCATGCACTGATGACTGTACATAGCTGGAGAAAATTGTTTAAGATCTTCTATCAGCCAAGTTAATGCCTCCTCACACGTCTTTACCTCCAGTCCCTGCACCATCTTTCTAGCCCTCCTTTGGATACTCTCTAATAACTGTATGTCCTTCTTAATTTCAATGCCCCAAATTGCACACAGTGCTTAAAGTGAGGCTGCACCAGCACAGACCAGAGCGAGACAATCCCTTCCTTCATCCATTGGCAGTGCTGGGCGTGATGCTCTCTAGGATTTGGTTGACCACAACAGAAGCCCAGGAACCAGAGGAGTGTGATGTCGGAGTGCTACAGGAAAGGAAGAAACGTTGTGAAGGAGGTTTAATGACTTGATGGCTACTCCAAGGAAGTGCTGGTAGTGTTTTTGGTTTCTTCTCCTCTCGATCTCTCATCATCTCTAGAGAAGCTATGTCTGTATGGGAAGGATCACCAGTATCACATTCTTCTGACTCAATATGACATTTAGCACCTTTCTTCCGTGGGTCTTTCCAGTCGTCAGGCAAAATTCCTCATTCAGGTTTTAACTCCTCCCAGGTGCCAATGAAAGGCATAGGGGGCTAAATTATCTATATTTGCTATGGCAGGGCTCGTGCCAACACTGAGCACTGACAATGCACATTACTGTTCAGCTCATGTATTTCTGATGGCAAATTTTACAGTGCTATATATAAGGTTGTTATGGCATCTATTATTCACTGCCAATACAGTTCAAGTTAAAATAGGTTTTATATAACAGTTCAAAGCAATATTTTAAGAGATAACACTTGTGTCAAGGCTGCTGTGTCCTACCAGATTTTGACATTTCCAAGCAATAAAGATCTTTATCCAAAACGTAAGGTTTTGGCAAGACATCTCCTTAGCAGACTTCTCTATTTTTAATCTGCAAGCAATAGCAAAAGAGTTACATTTAAATAAAATGAACAGCCAGCTGAGCTTCTGACTTGTCTATTACCTTTCTACGTGGCAACTGTGAACTCTGAAAAGCGCCTCAAGAGATGTTTGCGACAGAGATCAATGTCCCATTAACCTGAGCCTCCTAAGAGATTCTGGAGATGTGAAAAACACACAAGTGGGAAAGAGCCATTGGAACATTAAGAAGATGACTACAACACAATTTAGTATCTTCTTTCAATAACACAAGATGGGAAGGAAACTTATTTCCTTGTTCCTTTAGTAACGCAAAAAAAAGTTCTATATCTGCTCTTGCAAGAAGGACAAATTCAATTGTCCTTCAAAGGCCTAAGAAAAGGCCCAGCCTAAGAAAAGGCCTAAGAAAAGGCCCAGCACTGATAGCAGTATGATAAGATTCTCTGAAGTTACGTGCTAATCTGAGTATCCCAGAAGACATGATGTTCTTGTAGGGCTCTGTGACCTCTACTGTGCTGTTTGTCCTACATGTTCCTGGTGGTAGGCACTCAGAAAAGGAGAAATTCCAGTAAGACCCAACAACTTGCATAGTTTTGCACTACTCTGTTCTTCATTCAAGCCCCCAGAGAGGACAGGAGAACAGATGCTATACATCATTTTGGTGATAAATTTAGTTTATTAGTTGGGCTGGACAGATAAGGGCTATATACTTCCTTATAGCCTTCTTGGTTAGTTACTGGTTGTGAAAACATATTGGTAAAAAATAAGTTGTAAGGATGACTTTGAGCTCAATGAGCCCCTTCTTTGTATACCAACCACTTCTAATGAAATCCTAGATGATTTAATGTGCAAGATGAGCCCTTTTCAGGAAAAAACATTCATATGGGTTGGCAAACAGAAAAACAAAACCCATATAAAATGATTTAAAAGCATCATCTGCTTATTCAAATACAGCAGAGGAGAGGTTTGATGCAGTCCAAAAAACCCATTTCATGCTTTCTTCCTGAGGAGAAATATTTTAGCTGCACTTGAAATAATGTATGTGGAATGCAGTCCTGCTTACTGGATGAACAGGAATCAGAGAGAGCAAAACAAAATGGATGCAGCTATCACAGAGATAGGGAAAAACTGCAAGTGAAAGCAAACTTCATGCATTCTTAGGAAGAACAAACCTGAACCTCACTAACTACAGAAATTGAGTAAGTTATTTGTTGGGAAATTAATAATTAGACAGAAAGATAAGCAGAGCCATTGGAAAGCATCTCCATCGAAATAAGGAGACATGACTACACCTCTTGATTTTACAAAGACGGTGTGACTGAGACTGGCTTGGAGTTTGTCGTTCTCCACTATCTAACAGGCAAACTCTAAATATTTCCGTGTTTGTTTTTCTGGAGAGGAAAGATCAAGGCTATATTTTCAACAAAACAACCACAATAATATCCTTTTTATCCATAAAATCACTGCAGAAATACCACAGCACCCATTCATCTTTAGCATCACAGTGCAGGATCATCCCAAAATGTGCATCTTCTTGCAACAAAGTTCCCTGGAGATTTTACCTAATGGATGCACAGAAACTACCCCAGTATGGAAGGACAAATCACATTCAAGGATACCCAACGTGAGGATATTTCACAATTTCATCCTTAGAAATGCACACAACTGTACAACACTCAATTATGTCCGTTCAGCAAACCATAAGAGAGATTAAACATACACTAACCTTGATCCACTCTTGTAAAATTATCAAATTTCTTATTTAAAGCATTAACTTTTGTAGCTATCACTGTGAAAACAGAGGTCAGACCCTCAGAGCACTGGTCTACACAGGAACATTTGTCCCCTTTTACCTCTCTTAACTCAATCACACCTCCTGCTACAGTGCAACCAAAATCCATTCTGATAAAATTAGCTCAATCCCATTAAAAGACGAAGTGTAGTCCTTAATTAAATATTCTGATTTATTCTGAAGCCCACTTTTCTGGTTCATCTTGAGTTCAGGCCTGTAAAAGCATACAAATTAGAAAAAAAAAAAAAAAAGTTCTAGGTTTTATTCATTTATTACTTACATTTGAGTAACAAGAGTTTCCCAACGCACAAAAAGAAAAGTATAAAAAGAAAAATGTGGGATGTTTAACTCATTCAGATCTCTTTTTGTTCCTTTTACCATATTATATTTATAGCACCTCCAAGGAAAAAAAGTGAACAAAAATAGTATGAGTCTTCTTTAACCTATGTTAAGAACATCCGAATACTTTAATAAAGCAGTAATTCTTGAAAAACTGAAGAAGTTATTTAATTTATTATTCTCTCTAATGGTAAAGATGAACAATTTCTGTCCGTCACAGATTTGAGTCTGAAGTTTGCACACACCAAGAAAGTTGTTTCACTGCGGAACCAAGTTCAATTAAAGTAAATCACTACAGACCATTATGAAAGAGGAAAACACGAGCCAAGGAAAACTGATTACTTCCTGCCATTTTTATTTTTGGTCATGTTAATTATTAATTCTTCCTTCAGACAATCATCTTCATTTTTAGAATAGCATGATAATCTCTCGTATATCTAGTGATGCTATACAGACAGCCACATAAATAAGCATTTCTTCTGTCATGTTGAGCAATGCAAAACGTGAGATGTCTGCACTTTCAGTCGGTAAGGCCATGGCAGGAGAAAGTTACTCACCTCAATCTGTTGAATGGCCTCCTCCCGCTGACGGATGGCCTCCAGATCCTCTTCTGTGATTTCTGAGAGCAAGGCTTGATCCTGACTCTGGTTTTGCCACGTGCCATCTCCTCCATTAAAGATCTTCTCATCGTCAGCTAGGTCAGAAAAGGGAGTCCTAGGGCTCTGCTCAGATGGAGGAATGAAAAGAAAGCAAAGGAAGTGTAAATCTTCTTTAGTTATATATACATATGGCCTTCTCACAGGATAAGAAAACAGTGATATAATAGGCTACGTAAACCATGGTGAAAAGGTGAAGAGAGCATCAGGAAGTTACATGAGAAGACACACATCAAGTTTTGAGAAGTTCTAGGACCTGAAGCCATACCTCCTGAGCTACATCAGACACCCAGCATCCAGCTTGTGACAGTTCTCACAGAACAAAAAATTTATGTGCAAATGAAAAAATACACATTTACTGTATTCATTTTACTGCAGGTTTTCTGGAATGAGATGCTTTCTCAGACATACACAAGTCCTATGTATGTGCCCTGAAGACTTAACAATCCAACTTACATCACAGAACACAACAAAGGAAAATATCTTGTTTATTTTTGGGAAAATATAAATACGGCTAAAAAAAGGAAAATAACATTATAGTAATGTGACTGTACTGTCAGCAGCTTGAGAATCATACAGAATCATAGAATCACAGAATGGCTTGAGTTGGAAAGGACCCCAAAGATTACCCTATTGCAACTCACCTGCCATGGGCACAGGATCATAGGGCCTCCTCTGTAAAGTTCACCAGCTTTTGCTTACATATCAAATACTGTTTTCTAGGTAAGCTACTGATTTCTGCCTTTGGGAGCTGTGCTGGTATTTAGACCCATGTTCAAAGTGCCCGTTCAAGATTCAACTGCATCCACCCTGCAGGTAGGGGCAGATGTTCAGCAAGGTTTTCTCCTCCCATCCTTTAGCTTCTGCATCTACTGAGATGGTTCAGTCTAAACTGGACTCTGAGAAGGAACCAACATGAGGTTTGTATGGACATTCAGGAAATTAAGTTCAAGTCCTAAACTAATAGGTCCCACAGAAGACTCCAGTCCTACAATTGCACAAGTATTTCACTTCAAACAATGCACACTGTCCTTTCAGCTGGCCTTGATCTGAGCTCTGACTCCTAATCAAAAGTTACAATAAAAGAGCAATCCAACTGCATCCAACACTCTTAAGCTGAAAGAAGAAACGGCACTTGCTATAGCACATTCTTGACCTGAATATCCCCAAAGTTCCTGAACATTACAGAAGAAAACAAGCCCAACAGTTCAGGAGGATGCTTAGCTCTCTGAATCTGGACTGATCTGAAGCAGAAACTGGGGCTTTTCAAGAGGTGGTGTTTGAGAAGTAAAACCCTTTGCTCTCTTGCTGCAGCTAAGTTTTCAGAGATGTTAAATGCCTCAAATTCCCTCAAAGAACATGGAGATCATGCTGAAAGAATACAAAAGGACTGGGAAACTGGAAGGACTGGAGTAGAAGTTGCTGTGGAAAAGATTAAACAATGTCAAATCACCTAGGCAAGAATGAGAAAATCAAGCACGCGTGAGGGAGGCAGGTGAATGAGGAAAAAACACAGATTATAAGGGATTTTACTTCTTGCTGCATTGCTCAGAGATCTGCTTTAGAGGAACTCTGAAGGCAGCAAAGAGAAACTTGAGTAGTACTATTACAATCATATTTAGACAAACAAGCTGGCTTGATTTTCACAGAATCACCAAATCACTATGATTGGAAAAGATCACTAAGATCATCAAGTCCAACTGTCAACCCATGCCCCCCATGCCCACTAAACCCTGTCCCTCAGTGCCACATCTCCATGTTTCTTGAATGTCTCCAGGGATGGTGACTGCAGAACCTCCCTGGGCAGTCTGTTCCAATGCATTACCACACAATCTGAGAATAATTTTTTCCTACAATACCCAACCTAAACCTCCTGTATTTTGAAGAATATTATGCACCTAGAATCACTCATTTAACTATTTAAATCTTGTTTCATTCCTTAATAAATAAATAAATAAATAAATTGTGTGATCTCTGGAAACTGGAAACTAAAGAGCTTTTCCTGTTGCTTAAATGTAGGTGTTGCCTAACAAAAGTAATTCATTATTATTATCAACATCCTCTAGTTTCAGGCAAGGAAAATTATACAACATGGTGAAGGAAATGAGGTAATGGAAGAGGCAGAGGCACACAGAAAAAATGGGTCATATATAATCACGTATATTTCAAGCATATAAGCAGAAGATGTTCATGTCAGATGTTCTGACATGAACATCTTACTTTGTTTCACCTTGTGCTTCCCTGGGATCTGTTATCTACACAGAAAGAGTGTGTTATGTGAAGAAAATCATCATTTAAAATCAGTCTAAGAATACATTTACATTTTAAAAAACATATTTGAATAGGATTCAGATAGTCTAGGGGTGTTTTATTCACCAATTATTATGTGCCTTGGACACTAACTAATCTGGCTGAGCATTTCATTGCCAAAAGCATATATTAATGGACTCAAGAGAAAAAACCAAACAACAACAACAACAAAACCACCATAGGGTATTATAGGGCTACATTTATAGTGACATAGGGTGTCATCTCATCCTCACCAATGGGCTAACTACATTATGAAGAGGCAGTTATAGTGCACAAGGACGTGTAGGCTGGAAGGGCCCATACATCTCAGACAAGGAAAACCTTGTACTATCATAGAACCATAGAACTGTTTGAGTTGGAAGGAACTGTTCCAGTCCAACACAAGGATGCTGTACCATGGAGTCAAATGCACATGAATGGATGCATGAATCCATGCTTTCTTGTGAAGATACACATTTCTGTGAAAGATATCACATTTTCTAATGATCTAATGTTTCCCATTCTGTTCTGATGAAGAAGCACAGGAACTAAACAGTTCAATAAGCAGCTCTTCAGATTATGTTAGTACATGTAATACTATAGTTGCATCACAAAGATGTTTGGTTTTGGCTTCTGCCAACTTCTCAGTCACCCTCCCTTGCTGGTTCTAGCCTCTGTAAACAACCCCAAAATAATACAGATGGAGCAATACAAGTGATGCTGCTCAGCCATCTCTTACAAAAGCAAGCTATTTATGTGTTTAAATAGATAATGGTCTAGACACAGATGTTTTTCTCCAAACAAAGTAGTGGCTTAAGTTAATTTCAGAGCTACTGAAGGCAATTATGTGATTTTGTATACTTAATATCCTTCGAGAAAACCCAACCACAACAGCTGAATGAACGAATGAATTGTCAGACAAGGAAATGCAGAGAGGGGTCCAAAATTTTCTTCCAGACACAAAAACAGCTCCATAATAACTTTAAATACAGTCACCAGGACCTGCTAGTGGGATATATACAGGGGCTGGCTGTGCTGACAAATGCAAACAGATTTTGTAGTTGTTGATGGTACAATGCCCTTCATTTCAGTGATAAACTGAACAAATCCTGGATTTGAAAGTGCAAAGAAATCTAATTATTTTTAATACTTCTGCTTGAAAACTGTGTATAACTGGGTTTATCAGGGGTTTTCTTTCCCTTTTCAGTTTTTCTGTCTCTGACAAAATCTTTTATTTATAGCAAAAAGAGATATGACAGAGGGCACTCATTGAGCTTCCACAGATAAAGTTCCTTTTGTCAATGCACTGCAAGGGGCCATAACTCCCTGTATATGCATTTCCACATTAAATTTGATTTAGTGCTGAATTTTATGCCCTGTGAATCTCTGTGTAATTTTCTGTAGGATTTCCTTTCATAAATTGTTAATTGGATGTGTTTGAAGTTGCTCTTTTGTTGAGATTTGCCTGTGGCAGATTTTTGTCATGATGTATCTATAAAACAAACCCTGCCTTTGAAAAGAATGATAGGAGAGAAAAAGTTGAGTTTATCTGATATGCTCAGTGGTTCTTTAAAAGCTAAATTCTTAGGACTGAGGGTCGCACTTTGCTGTTATTCATCACATCTGAAAAATTATGCCCCAGCACAACATATTTTCTGTTGGATAATATCTTTTCACTGGGATAAAATCATTGCTGCTTACAACTCCATTTTTTTATCAGATTTATTCTACAAATGGGAAGATGTTATATGCAGCTGGTGATAGAGGAAAGGAAAAAAAGGGGAAAAAGACTTTATCTGGAAGGAAACAACTTCTTTAAGTATCTGTACTTCAGCAGTTGACAAATCTTCGCATGAGAAACTGCACATCTCCAAAGACAACCCCTTCCCAGCTCTGTGCCTACTTTACTCCCCATTTGTATATTTTCTAATATACAAATTAGGGCCAAAAAGGGACACTAACACACAATTTCTTCTCTCTGTACACAGCGATATTAAGAGCTGTATAACCTCTGTCACATCAAACCGCCAAGGAAGGGACTGAAATGACCTGTCTTCTGGTTCCCATAGGCTGTTTATTCCACCTAGAAGCAGGAATCTAACAGGAACTCCAACCTAATATGCCATCACCCAAAGGGCATAGTTCATCTTCAGAGAATTAGGGAATTCCCTGCAGGTGTGTGCTGGAGACAATTCTGTCCTGTAGCTCTTTTACTTCTCTAACGATGCAATTTCTGATTGCTCATTATAGGTTATTCCCTTACTAGAAATCAAAATAATCAAGTAAACGAGGCTTTTGGAAAGATATTAAAGATAATCACAGGGATGCAAGACACTCACAATTGAAAGCTGTCTCATTTATTCTGGATTACAGAATCAGTGAATCACAGAATGACTTCGATGGGAAGGAACCTTAAAAGATCATCTAGTTTCAACCCCACTGCCATGGGCTGATTGCCACCCACCAGTCCAGGCTGCCCAGGAATCCATCCAACCTGGCCTTGAACACCTCCAGACATCCAGCATCCACAGCTTCTCTGGACAGCCTGTGCCAGGGCCTTACCACCCTCTGAGTAAAGAATTTCTTCCTACCTAACATAAATTACCCTTGTTTTAATTTCAAGCCAATCTCCCTTGTCCTATCACTATTAGACTGTATATAAAGTCAGTCTCACTCTTGCTTACAAGCTCCCTTCAAGTACTGGAAGGATGCAATGAGGTCTCCCTAGAGCCTTCTCTTCTCCAAGCTAAACGCTCAACCTTTCAGCATAGGAGAGG